TGTCGAAAGAGTTGAACAGTTAGTCTACATGGTTACAGAAAAAGAAAAACGGTAAAATTATTTTTTGTTTTTGGTCTCCATCGTCAATGTGACAGTAATAGCTAGTTTCAAAATGGCCGATTTCTAAAATGGCACTCAAAGATACAAATGAGCAAATAAGAGCACAAAGGGAGGTAAATATATTTAAAGCTACAGGCACACGAATGGTCTTGTTCAGAGATTTTTGTCACAGACTCGAATCGACAAGATTATCACCGACAGGATTTATAATATCAAACAAGTTTGATAATTGTCTCCGATAGTTTTATCATCTGTAAGACAAACCGTCATCATCCAATCAGATTCATTTTCCTTTCAATTACATGATCTTCAGGTGATTATCGACATGGTGGAAAACGACCGACTGGAGATTTTTGTCTCCTCATGTGCCTGCAGTCAGTTGGAGAAACTCTTGACAAGACTCTAATCAGCTACAAAAATCGCCGACCAAGACTGTTCTCGCACACTCCCTTTAATTTTATTTAATTGTACTAGGACTAACCTTATGCTTGTTTGTTATTTTAGTAAAAAGTTAATCAACATCCTACAAGAGGGAATCGAACCACCTATTATTATTTTTGTCAATCAGAAGAAGGGAGCCGATATTTTGGCCAAATCTTTGGAGAAAATGGGCGTAAGTTTCTAATTTTTAGACATTTTATTTATATAAGAAAGAGACAAAGCGGTTGTGGAGTTCATCCATTTTCTTTTGGAAGGTGAGAGTAGCCACGGTGGCTCAGTGAGTTAGATGCTTGCTCGCTAACCTGAAGGTCCAGGGTTCAATCCTGTCATAGATCGAGATAATACCTTTGTATGGCTCAGTGTGTGTTAGATGATGCTTGCTCGCTAACCTGAAGATCCAGGGTTCAATCCTGGCATAGGTCAAGATAATACCTTCAGATTTTTCAACCCAGTTTCCCCCTGTCAGTGAGTTAGACGCTTGCTCGCTAATCTGAAGGTTCAGGGTTTAATCTTAGCATAGGTTGAGATAATACCTTCAGATTTTTCAACCCAGTTTCCCCCTGTCAGTGAGTTAGATGCTTGCTCGCTAATCTGAAGGTTCAGGGTTTAATCTTAGCATAGGTTGAGATAATACCTTCAGATTTTTCAACCCAGTTTCCCCCTGTCAGTGAGTTAGATGCTTGCTCGCTAATCTGAAGGTTCAGGGTTCAATCCTGGCATAGGTCAAGATAATACCTTCAGATTTTAGTGAGTTAGATGCTTGCTCGCTAATCTGAAGGTTCAGGGTTTAATCTTAGCATAGGTTGAGATAATACCTTCAGATTTTTCAACCTGGTTTCTGCTATAGACTGTGCATGTTAAAGATCCCTAGACAGTTGGAAATTGCAAAGGGGAAGGCTAATGCTGCTGTCCTGGAAAATTTTCCTTATTGCACACTGCAGGCCATTCCTCATCGTTATGGGATAGTTATCCTTTTCGTGGATGGGGTGGTTTCATCTGGTAAGCCGCCATCTTGAGAAATATTCAATTCATTTATCCTGCCAAAAAAAACTGATTCACTTTGCAACTCCTTATTTTACATGGTGTTATATCAACGTAATTGTTGTTGTAATAGTCTTTTCTTCTAATAAAATTATTATGTATACGTGAATTTTGTGCGTGTAGCTGAAATTTCTTTTTTTTATCTTTAGTTTAATGCGACCACTCTTCATGGTGGTAAAGGACAGGAACAAAGAGAGTTTGCTCTAGCCAGTTTAAAAGGAGGTTCGAAGGATATACTGGTAGCTACAGACGTTGCTGGGCGTGGTATTGATATTAAAGATGTGTCTCACGTCATTAATTATGATATGTCTCGTAATATAGAAGGTAAATTTAGTTTTTATTATTCCTTTAAACACTGAGATGATGAAAAGTATCAAATAAATGGTGGTTGTGGGTTCTAATCTCGGTCGGCGTGTGAGAGTCTGATGGCCTTGAATAAGTCATCTTTCCTCAATATTGCACTCAACCCAAGTCCAAGAAGTTTGACCAAGGATCAGCTAGTAGAAAGGATCCTTGTGAACCTAAGTTGTTATCCTTGTAAAATCATTACCGAGAGGTTTGACCAAGGACCAGCTGGTAGAAAGGATCCTTGTGAACCTAAGTTATTATCCTTGTAAAAAATGGTTAATTCATGTGTGACTTTGATCAATGCCAAAAGGTTTGGCCAAGGATCAGCTGGTAGAAAGGATCCTCGTGAACCCAAGTTGTCATCATGCTTGTATCTTTCTGAAATGTCAAATTTATGTCTAATTTCAGCCTACACTCATCGTATCGGACGTACAGGAAGAGCTGGTAAAAATGGTGTGCCAT